ATATAAAACCTAATACGCACCGTGGTTAATACCATATTATTTTGCTGTCCAATTGGTAACTGAGCTTGCTGACTTACTGAGCCAGATCGTTGCGCCGCAACACCTGAGATGAATCGAAATAAATAAATTAATTAGAACAAATATATTAAGTTATAAGAATCAAAACTACAACAGCTTACTTTGTAAGTAACTATCATTAGCCATTCTCGCTCTCTTTGTAGGTGATGATAAAGGCTGATTCACTCCCTCGTTATTACGTTTCAAAGAAGGGTTAGCCTATTTATCAGAGAGTTCGATATTTTTAACGGCAACTATTTAACAACTCTGGTGGTTGGACTCTGTTTATTCATATAATTTATATATACCTGTGTTGGACCGGGCTGGGCCATATGTACTTGTGCGGAACCAGATACCACAACCTGAGCTTGATTATCACGTTGTTGTTGTTGTTGCTGTTGTTGCTGCTGCTGTTGTTGCTGCTGCTGCTGCCGCTGCTGAAACAACATTACTTGGGATGTAGGCGTTGATGGTTGTTGTGATTGGCTAGGAAGTTGTGCGTTTTGGGCTTGGACCATCGCGTTTTGAGCTAACATACTTTGCTGCATTTGTAAAGGTATACCCACTCTGTTCCCCCCAGGAATCGCTTGCATTTGATTCATCATGCCTCCTCTATTTACAAATTAAACGGATGTAAGATGATGTAAAGAATTCAATACAAAATTTCAATTAGTACTTACGGTATCAGTCTTCCACGAAGCATGTTGTTGTTTACCTTTATCTGATTTTGATTAGTTGCTTGTGGACTCATAGACATTATGTCACCGTTGGCATTTGCATCAAGAGACACACCATTTTGCATATTTTGTCGATTGAATTGGGCTTGCTGTTGTTGATGTTGAGCAGGTGATTGTTGTGGTTGTTGAGTAGGTTGAGATTGCTGCTGCTGGGATTGTTGTGGAGGTGGTTGCTGTTGCTGTTGCTGCTGTTGCTGTTGTTGAGCAGCTTGAGCAGCCTGAGCAGCTTGTTGAGCTTGTTGTAAATGTAATCTCTGTAATTGTTGTTGAGCGGCAACAGCTTGTTGGGCATTTTGACCAGAAAGTTGCGGAAAAGTTCCGACAGGTATCTGATTTAACGAATCATGCATCAGTCGCATACGATTTCTACTATTCCTCATTTGCTTTAAATGAACAGATTATTTAAATGTTAAAGATTAAAATTCTAAATAGTTAAAAAGATAAATGTAATAGATATTTACCTGATCTACTACGTAGCGATGCGCGTCAGCAGTTCCAGGACGATTTAACTTTGCACTATATATATCCCAAAAAACAGTCCACCATTCATATAGAAAACCTTCAGGTGCTTGTACAGGTACATCGACGTCAGGTAACGGTGTGTTATCGTTATCAGAACTTGAACTTCCGTTTATTGAATTTACGGTACCGTCATTTTTAACACAGTTCTGAAAATCACCTTCTCTTAAATAGGCTTTTGCTGTTTCTGTAGCACCGCTGCGTTTTAAGAAATCGTATACGTAAGCATTCAACAATCTTTGTTCCCTCTTTATATGCATGCCGTTCCTCTGATTTTGGTCAACTTGTGAGTGAGCGGATAACAGCTGTTGCTGATTCTGTTGCTGCTGCGTTTGAGAAGGCTGTTGGCCCTGGGGTGGCTGCTGAGTCTGAGTTTGAGGTGGCTGTTGTGTGGATTGTTGCTGTTGTTGCATTTGTTGTATATGGAGTAAATTTGTTGGTAACATTTGAGATTATGTATCGTCGTTGAAATGGAATTTTTTGTTTCTAAGAGTGATTTACAGTTTTACAGTTCAGCGAATGAGTTATTGAAAATAAAATCCGGATAAAATTATTCGGATTAAAATTAGAAGACGGATATAGAGTAAAAAAAAAATAGTGAGAAAATAAGAGGTAAGGTGACTGATTGTTGTTATATAAGCTATCTAATATAAATTATTTGATATATATTACAATATATAAAAGATGATTTATAAATTGTTTTACCTGTTTTATGTGAAATAAAAAAAAAATTACGAAAAAAAACAAATTTTTTTTCCTCAGTATATCAAGTCTTATATGGTATAAACTGTTGGTATAACTGAAAAAAACTGGATATAGAAAAAAAGGAGAACAAAAAATTTGTGTGTGAAAAAAAAAATAAAAAAATAAAATAAAATAAAAAATAAAATTTCGCTAGTTATTGGACCTGGATGTACAAACCTACCTTTTATATGGACATGAACTATCTGTAGGTGTCTCCGAGGTGAATACGTGTAGTTTAGAATACGTTTGGGGTAAAAAATAAAGCAGAGGAGGCTATTAAAAATGAATTCCGTGCTATCGGCTAAGAATTTATGAATGAAGTGAATGATTAGGCGTAAAATGAAAAAAAGGAAATTGGGGGGCGAACATTAGTGATACAAACTGATTGAATTGACACAACAGGGATTTTTCTTGAATGATCAACCCCAAACTGTAAGAATATGATCAGATAGTCTATATCTTGTTTCACGAGAGGTCTATTATAGAAATATTCGGCCTATTGTGGACCAATGATGGAGTCGTAATGAGATACACAGCGTAAAGTCTCATCGACGAACAATGAAGTCATTTTGTTCCTTTAAGATCTGATGACTTTGCCATTCAACAAAGAAAGTAACGTCTTAAGTTTGCATCAAAGTGCTGGCTAAATCTTCAAATCTACCATTTATCTAATTGAATTTTATTTTATAGTATTTAAATGCTAATGATAAAGATGGTTTTTTAACCCCTTTTAATCGTCACATCGATTTCTATCTGTTCAATGTGCGACAAAAATTTATTTAAAGGGTCGCTTGCTCTCATACTTTAACGCTAAAAGCAGCTTGGGTAAAAATTTTTTTCTTTTAAAAACATTATGTCGACTTGAGAAGCGTGGCCAAAAAAACATGGTTTAATTATTTTATTACCTGAAATCATCGTTTTTTTTTAAGGCTTATTATGTATTATCGTTATTTATATTTATATTAATGTAAACAAATCTGGCTTCCTACCACGTTCAATATGTATCTCGAAGAAAAGATACATGATACACTTCTCACGGCGCAGATAAGAATCTGTTTAATGTATATATAAAATGAAAGTCATAATAACTTTGGCTTTTATCTTATAATGTGGGAGCTTAAAAACAAACTTTGTAACTCTAACAGCAAACCATTCAAAGAAACAATTGATCAAATTTCCAAACTATGGAAAAATAATTACTGAAAATCTTTAACAAATAAAATATGATTCTGCTATAAACAATGGTTCATTTTTAAATTTAATAAGTTTTACATAGTTGACGAACTTCAAAAATACCAGTACCGCCTTGTACAACTTTGCCAAGTACCAATCTTGCCGATGGCGAATTTAATGTATCAGTAGCATTATTAAGCGTTGCGTGAGTCAAGAAATTGCAAGTAGACTCAAAACTCATCTTAAGAAAAGGTGAAGAATTAGATGCAAGACCCATTCGGTTAAATGGTTTAAACGTTCCTTCAAAAGTCTTTGAATAAAGTGATCCAATAAATTCAAGTGTTAAAAATATCTGCAATTGCCTTAGTAAAAAACAGTGATAACTTACCATATAATCCGCAACAAGTGTCAAATGCCTTGGGTCTACATTGATACTGTACGCTGCAAATACGTCTGATATCTCTTTCATTATAGCCCCTCTTGCAGCTTCGACCCCGTAGTTTTTGAGAATAGCAGCGATATTATTAGAATAAATTTTGTTAATATCGATTATGTCATCATATAACCATATTTGACGAAAATTAACTCCTTCAGTCGCAATAGTTTTCTAAAAATAGATATAATGTAAGCAAATGACTAAAATTTTAAACAATTGTCAGTTTAGAACTTCGAGCGTATCTTACTGATGTATCTCCCTCAATATCACTCGTGATTGGATAACATTTGTTAATTCCACTAACTTCACGGATAACGGTCTTTTTACATGCATCTTCAGCTAGGCTTAGCAATAACAATTTTTTGGAATCAGTGGGAAACTAATATATAAGAGGATAAATTAATAATAATTGCAATCCAAATCTTTTCGTATAAATAACAAGTAAAATAATACCTGCAATTCTATATCACACCAACGTGAATTGGTATGGTCAAACTGGTAATCGGTGACATGAGTTGAAGACGCCACGATTTTGTCCCGTAAATCCGATCTTTTAGTTTTGTCTCGCAACTTAAAGAATACCTCTTGTGATTGGTCCGTATCGTCATCTATATCTTCTGTCCGCTCATCACCCTCATCCGTTTCTGAATCTTCATTGCGAAATGCAAGGTCATTTTCCTTAATGATCTCAAGATCATCATCATCCGGTCCATCGTAGGTCGCAAACTGTTTGGCTCTAGAATTTATTCTTGCATTAGTAGCATCGCCATCACCATCATCAGATTCTGTAAAAGTAGGCTAATCATGATCAAGTAATCGTGACAATTGTTATAAAAGCCGTCAAACTTTCAATACATGTAATTACCATCTCCACCAGCATTAATCGGTTCATCTTCGTCAAATATAGCATCTTTTCTTGTTCTGTTTGTAAATTTATCTGTATCTTGAATTATATCTGAAAGATATAGAACAAAGGTAAGATCATGAACATATAACTAACTACAAAAATCTTGGTGAAAAACTAACCATCGTAAATTTCATTCTTGCTTTTAGTAATTTTAGATATCGCGCTCATAAGATGCTTTATAAATTTTGATTCGATTGCACGTTCTATTTGCGAAGGTACGATATTGAATTCTTCCGTATATTCTTCTCGTGGATAGAATTGCATACGAATATTATAAACCCTGCATCGAACAGATCCATCTGAATTCCGTTTGCTAGACAATCGTTCAGTTACTATCATTTGATCTACAATTTCAGCTAAAGTTATTTTGCTTATTTCCTGACAGAATTTAGAATACTCCTGCTCAGACACACTCTCAAGCAATGGAAGTGTCATCATTGGTGTCTTTATCTTTTCTGATGCTGTCATAATTATTTCACGTAAACGAGGAATACCAAGGGTGACGTTTTTCGCACCAAATCCGGCAAAATGGAAGGTATTTAACGTCATTTGTGTGGATGGCTCGCCAATACCTTGAGCTGCTAGCAACCCAACTGCTTCGCCGGGTTCAGCTAAGCTATGAAGGTATTTAAGGTGCATAAGTTTTCTAAAAGCCGGTTTGGATATTGAGTCGGCTTTAAATAAGCCATCCGGATCCTCATTTGTATACTGATACACAAGTATATAGTTATATATTTACAATAGTCTAATGTAAGGTTAAATACAGACTTGAATTTAAAATAAATACCTTTTCTAAAGCTTTATGGAATTTCTCGGAAACGCATCCTAGATAAGTACTCGGTGAATATCGAGAAAGTACAGGATCATATTTTTGAGGATTCTTTGCAGCCTTCTTCGCATAAATAGACGCATAAGAAGTATTCAACACTTTTTGTGCTTTTACAATATCGTACTTTTGTAGCAATGCTTTGTGATTTTCTGTATTAAATTTAAACTCGTAAAGATGTTTTTGCTTGGTGATATCAAGTGAATCTTCCCCATAATGGAATTGAATAACAGAGCCATCACTATCTCTCACTGTATGATCGTAATGTACTTTTAAGCTTTCCAGGTGTTTAATGAGACAGCGTTGTAAATAACCAGAACGACTTGTCTTCACAGCCGTATCGATAAGGCCCTCACGACCGGCCATACAGTGGAAAAAGAATTCCTGTAGAAATTTCAATTATTAAGAGTACTATATAAATAGTAAATGCTATTTTAATTTGTTCTCGTAATTTAATAGATTTTACCTGTGGTTTTATACCAGTTAAGAATCGACCACCAATAAATCCTCCTGCACGTGCGGAAGGTTCATAAGGCAGAAAAGATGGAAGAGTCTTTCCACTAATCATTACTGGTACACGACGACCTTCTAATTCCTGCTGGCCTTTGAAAAATTCAAGATATTGCATGTAATGTGACAATATACACAGCAATAAAAAATTCAAGATATTGCATATAATGTGACAATATACACAGCAATAAAAAACAAAACCATCTAATGTATAACTCACCTAAACAACATGAAATTTGCGAAACGTTTACGCTACTTCCCTTTGCTCCAGATATGGTCATGGTTTGCATGTTATTATGCGGGAAGCATTTCAACTTATTGAGGCCAAATATTTATTAAATATTCAATATGTGTTTTTTCTAAATATGAAGTGCTTTTTCCTTTATAAGTATTTACCAGTTTCGTTGGTATACAATTTGAAATAATTGACGAGGTCAATTTATTTACACGCGATTTCATGATAGCGTCTAAGCCTTGATGTTTTTCACTATCGCGAAATACTTCTTCCATCATACTTTTAAATTCTAGTACACAATAAGAATAACCATTCGTTTTTTAACATTAAAATAGGGTCATATTGATAGAAAAAACAAACCTTTATCTAAACTTGGTAAATCCGTGTTCTCGACAGAATTGCCTAGCCCAACATAATCAAAGGCGGCAATTTTGCCCAGGTCCATATTATTATTCATTAATTCCTTTCGTTCTTGGTCGCCTTTTGGTGTCAATCTCAAATCGTCCATACGACACGAAAATCCGTATCGTTGCATATAGATTGTAAATAAGCGTCCCATAACACTAAGAAACTGACCAGTAACATCAGCAGAATATAATTCATAACATGAATGAACCAATCCAAATGCAGAATCTCCAATTTGTGACTTATCAAGAACTCCAGTGAGAAAATCTCCATCAATAAAAATTACTGTTTCTTCTTCAGGCGCACACTGTCCCCAGTACTTAGACGAAATCTTGGTTTTAGATCGCAAATTTAGAGGGACAAGACCAACAGTTAAATTCTTTAGTATGGTGGTTATCTGTTCAAAATTGATATTAAACATTCAGCATATCTAAATTGTTGAATAATCAAGTATTGCCCACAGTGTTGGCATTGGAATATGTCCAATGAATTTGAAAAAGATTTGACATATAAAATTTTATATGTCCAATCGTTTTCAAAATTATTGGACATATGTCCAATGCCAACACACCACCTAAATACCACATAAGTTAAACGTATATGGTACTAAAAGTTGATTAAATATATATCACACATGTTCACTTTGTGACACAACGTGATGTATAACCTGTGATATTTTAAGTGGTGTAACTGTGCTAAATTTGATTCACATAAGCGCTAATTTCGAATAATAACACGCATATATGATGCAAAAGTACTAATGTACCATTTGTTTGCCAGTCCACAATGCTTTCGGTTTTTGTATAGCAGGAGGCACGGTCAGAATTCGTCTTGAATCGGAAGGATCTAGTCTCAGTGCAG